ATAGAATGGAAAATCCAAAATAAACCCATATTTATCTAGCACCACCACCTGTTGCAGTCAAGTTGATTCCGACTCAACCACTCTACAGGACAGAATATGTTTCTTATATAGGGTTTCCAAAGCTGTACTCTTTATGGAAGCAAATTGCCACACCTTTCTTCTGCAGAGCGGCTGGTGGGTTCAAACCACCTTTTGGTTCATAGCCATGCACTTAACGACTGTACCACCAGGGCTTCTTCATGTGTTTTTAGTCACCTTATTTTTTATAAGAATGCCAAAACCACTTAGGGAAAGAATAGTGTTTTCAACAAATGCTGCTTAGTTACCAGATATTAACATTATGCAAAAATATGAGATTGGACCCTCATGCCATATAGAGACATTAACTCAAAATGATCAAAAAACTAAATGTAAATATAAAAGTATAAAATTCTGGAAGAGAAAAAAAATAGGGATAAATCATCATGATCTTGGATTGAGCCATGGCTTCTTAAAGATGACACCAAAAGGGTGGGAAATGAAAGAAAATGTTGTTGATCCTACTTTGTCAAAAGTATAAACTTGTGTGTTTCAGAGGACTAAGAACAAAGTGAAAAGACAACCCACAGAATGGGAAAAAATATTTGTAAATCACGTATCTGATAAGGGACTATCATCTAGAACTCTTACAACTTAGTTATTAAAAAGACAACCCAAATAAAAACAGCAAAGGATCTGAATAGACGTTTCTCTAAAGATACAAAAATGGACAACGTTGTTGTTATGTGCTGTTGAGTCATCCCTGACTCATAGCGACCCCTCCTTGGATTTCCGAGGTGTTGTCACTATGGAAGTAGATTGCCCAACCTTCCTTCCGAGGAGTGGCTGGTGGGTTTGAACCACCAGCCTTCTGTAGCAGTCAAGTGCCTTAGGCACTATGCTACCAGAGCTGCTTTTGCTTCATAGGGGAACAAAGAATTGGAACAGTATCTGATGTGGCAGATGTTTGGTCAAAGAAGCTTGTTGTTGTTGTTGTTGTTGTTAGAAGTAACATGTTTGTATACTGATGAGAATGATGTACTAGAGAGAGATGATTCTAAGCATGAAAACATAGATAGTTCACCTCTGGCAGGAATTTGCATAGCACGTGGGTGCAGATGTTGGTAGGTACATCGATACGGCAGTAGCAGCTTATGAAAGTACTCACTTTTTCAACCTCACATTAACTCTATGAGTTAGGTATTATCCCCATTTACAGATGAGGAAGCAGAAAAAATTATGTAAAATGTTTAACTTGGGAATATCAGCTAAGTCTAAAATGCAGCCTGTGTTTTGGAGATCAGTAGTGGTATTTCTGATTGGAAATGTAAAACTCTTAATTCTTTTGTATTTATCTTAGAAAACTAAGGTAGAATCTGAGACTTCTCACCTCAGAAAAAAAGTTTGTTTTTTTGTCTTGAGGTTACGGGGTAGCTATTTTTCTATTTTAAAATGACTTTTTTCTTCCTAGAATATTCTCAGAAAAGGCCAGAAAGCTACTGGATCAGGCCAAACTTTGTCCTGAAAACACAGTCCTTGTGAAAATGATTTTCTTAGGAGTAATGAAATTCACATTATCCCTTCCTTCCTGGTATTTAGGAATCTTTAAAGTTAAATCTTTGCCCGATTACAGACTAAAGGTACTCTGCTGTTATTGGCTGTAGTCTGTCTCTTAAAAGCCATAAGCTATCATTTCAGTACTCAGTAAATCTCCAGTTTCTGCTTCGAGTAATCCAGCCCTAATGGAGGCTTCCACCCCACACATTTCTAAGACAAATCTCACTGTTTTTTAAATAAGCCTAACTAAAGGCACAGTGTTAGTTACATAAGTGAAGATGCAAGATGATATTCTTGCAAATCAGTTTGCTTATTCCATAGGTGGGAGGAGGGTGCAATTATTTAGAACATTGTGAATTAAGATATATTTATATTAATATTGTCTGTAGGTCCATTCCAGTCTCAGAAAAAGAACTTATTCCACAAAATTGTCAGCAAATATAAGCACAAAAAGGAGAAGCCTAATGTTCCAGAAAAAGGTATTGGTGCCTTCCATCCTCCATTAAGGTTTCTTGGCCACCTCCATTGTGAATTCATCGTTGAGTAATGCTTCAGTGTACCGCCTGTGCCCTCTCCTCTCCTTTGCTTGCTTCAACGTCATCAACTCCTGACGCAGGCACATTCATTATTCCTAGACTCCACAGCTAATTGCAAAGAGAGATTTCCTTCACTTGGAGCCCTAGTCAAAACTCCTATTTGTCTCTATTTTTAGAGTTCCATGGGAAACTTAAAATTGCTGCTACTCATCTGGTACATTTTTTAATTTAGTCTTCTTGAACTGTTATTCACCTGTTTCCTTTGACTGTTAATTCTTGTTTTCCTCATGTTTGGCAGCCTTCATACCAGGGCTACATTTTCCTATTTCCTGAAACTGTACCAGTTTCATATTCATGTGAAAGCCCCACAATTTCTATACCTTCTCTGACACTTAAGGATTCTTGTGGACCTTTTTCTCTACTCCTAAATCATAACCTACCTCTCTTTTTTTTCCATCCAAATGCTTCATCATTGCTAGACTCTTCTTCCCACCTCCTTCAGTCACACAGCATTCCAGAGGGCACTAGAGATTTACTGCACTCCACCACTCCCCTGTACTCTCAACATCTATTTCATTGTTAGGATCTTGATGAGCCCTTGAACCTCTTCAGGGCTCATCTTAAAACCTCTTTCTTCTCAAAGGTCAGAACTCCTTTCCTTTCACATAAAAGATAAATCTTCCCATCTGGCTCAGTACAGCCACATGTCCTGGAAGTCAGGCTTTTCTTTAGCGTCTCCCTGCATGTGTTGATATCATGACTACCATGAACCTACTCATCCAATGCCCATTTGCATTCTAGTTGCATGGCCAAATGTGAGGCATTTCATGTTTCTTGAATAAGACTTTAAATGTAGCTGTCTTCCATGTGTAGACATGTACCTGTGTGTTCTTGTGTGTGACCTTTCACTTAATTTTTACTTTATTTTCACTTCTAATTCAGCCTCTTTTGCTTGTATAGTGATAGTACTCTTTCTCTGGTTCCAGCAGGAAAACATTCTTTAGGTAAAATGTTACCTTTCATCTGCTTTTAACTGATCTTCAGATTACCATGATTAAAATCATAGAAATGATCCAACAATAGATTTCATAAAAGATTAATTTATTTTTAATCCATTTTCTATAAAATCTCGTTATTTTGGGTAGCAAATCCAGTTTTGACAATTAAGTAGCTAAAATAAAATTTAGCTTCATTTGTGAGATGTTTCATGTTTTATACATTTTAAGTTGTTTTATGTTATACCCTTTTTTTTTTTTTCCGTCTGTACTAGGAGTAGAGTTTCATTTTTCTTTTCCTTTTGTGTCATTGTTTTTAGGAAGTGGGGATAAATGGTCAAACAAGCAACTCTTCTTTGATGCCGTTCACCCTACAGAAGGTAAAAGAAGCCATATTCATTGTATAATTTCAAATAGTTTAACTATGCTGAAAAGGGTATAATTTATATAGGCTTAACCAATAACATTAGACCTGCTTGTCTATAATTAGGTTATTTTTCATTTTCATAACAAAACTATTATTTATCAGGACTCTGCTAAGTCAGGCAATGTTTCATGTGCAGTTTAATTTGTTTAAGGGGCTTTGTAACCTTTGAACCACATTAAACAGAAATTCAAGTTATTTGTAGCTAAAAATACACACCATTGCACTTCATGTTGCAGACAGATGCTTTTGGCAGTCAGAGTAGGGCATTATGGGGCTCTCCTCTTTGGCTGGGCATAGGCAAGCATGCAGAATTGATTCCTGAACTGAACTTTTTCCCTCACACATCTCCTCATACCTCTAAAACCAAGAAAAGATTGCCATGGTATCAACTTTGATTGAGGTGACCTCTCATGTTACAGAGTAGCTCTGCTCCTTAGGCTTTTCTTGGCCATGCTCTTTATGGAAGCAGATCACCAACCCTTTCTTTCACCAGACTGTGCTTCTGATGGGGTTAGAATAGCCAACTTTTGGTTAGTAGCCAAAAGCAAACTGTGCCTCCCAGAGTCCTCTTCCCCATACCTCTATATGTGTTAAAGTAGAATAATCTGAGGCTTATGTATTGCCAAAGAAAAGTTCAGTATTAGCAGTGTTGTAGATCCTCGGTACACATTCCATTTCAGTCAATAATATTTATTTGTAATTTCATCTAATTTCTGTTCAATATTGAACCCTTTAGGTAAATCCTAATGTCTGTGATAGTTAAGGGATCATCCCCTCCCTTTGTCCCATTGATTTCCTTTTTTCCATTACAGACATTTTTAAAAAGCTGATCACTTTTTGTCATCCTTCATTAGAAGTCAGTTCAGTTTAGAGCTAGAAAGGATCTTAGAAACCATCCAGTCCAACTCCTGTGATTCTCTTATGTCCAGAGAGGGTAACTTAATGACCAGGGCCACATCTCATGATTCCCGATCCATTGCTATTATATACTACCATTCCTTTACCAAGAAGGAAAAAATAAAATGCACCTTTGGCCTAATTCATTTATCAAAAATACTCAAGTTTAAAGATGTTTATCAAAAAGATTCAAATTTGTCATTTGAGTTATTATTAAACATGGCAGTTTTTTTATTGGAAGCCATGTTTCATATGAGCCCCATATCTATCTGTGTTTGTGTCGTTTTACAGGAAATGCCAGAGTATGTCTATTTTCTGACCTGTTAATTTCATATTCACAACTCCTAGGAGTATTGTTTCTGCTTAAACACTGTCAAAAAAAAAAAAAGTGTAAACTGCCTTGCTGTTCTCAGCATTAAATACTCAAATTTCAAAATTGATGCATTAGCTCTGATGCATTTAAAAAATACATTCTACACAGATTTGATAAACATAAGATACTGATGAACTGTCAGAAGAACCTAAAACAGACAGTGTTTAAGACCACATTACTCTTCGCCTGAAGTGACAGTGTTCTAAATTTTATATATATATATATATATATAAAATATGTATATGTGTGTGTGTGTGTGTGTGCATACATATATAAAATTGTGTTTTAGGTGAAAGTTTACATGGCAAATTAGGTTTCCATTTAACAGTTTTCATACAGATTTTTCTGTGACATTGGTAACAATTTTCACAATGTGTCAGCTTTCTCATTATTACTGTTCTGTTAGTTCTGTTTCCATTGATCTAGGTTTCTTTCCCCTCCTTACTTTCTCATCTTTTGCTTTGGGGTAAATGTTGATCATTTGTCTCATATAGTTGATTCTTTAAGGTAACACATTACTCAAGAGTGATACTCTTGATACTCAAGAGTGTTTATTTGATAAGCCAATCTATTATTTGGCTGAAAGGTGACCTCCAGAAATAGCTTTATTCCAAGTTCAAAGGTTATTTTAGGGCACTAGTTTCGAGGGTTCATCTATGTTCTAAATATTTAGTTTTTTAATCACTGAAAACTGTACGTCACATGAAAGAAAAGGCAATATGTGCAGTGTGGTAGAAAGAGCAGTTCCCTAAGAAATAGGAAACCTGCTTTCCAGTCTCAGCTCTGCCACTAATTAGAATTTTTCAGTAGATTAGATATTTCACTGAGATTCACTCTCCACATTTATTCTAAATATGTATATAATACATGTGTTTAGGGGGTGGGGTAAATGGTGATACGTAGTACTACATGCACTTTAAATTCCATTTCCCCTTTAACACTTGATGATTTTATTACTGGGGTGCCTGAGTACATGTAGTGATCCTGAAAGTACCATATTCTAGAGCCCTAATTTTCTGCCCTTTTGGGCAGAAGTAAATAAATTTTGAGTCTTACATGCAGTCCCAGTGGTTTGGTAGAAGAAGAGTTACTACTATTAGACATATTTAATTACATTCATTATTAATGTATGTGAAACACAGTTTTGGAGAAGATGCACTAAAAACTGCATGTCCTGTATTGTAGAGTGCAAACTCATTTTACAAAGCTAGGAAAAAAAGGAATCACAGTAGTATGAATATCACAGATTACCAGTTATTTAAAGCAGAACTTTGAACTAGTTCAAACCAATTCAGTCATGGCTGGTGAAGCAAAACCAGGATGGACTAGAATTTGCAAAATGTGAGTGCCTAGAGCAATAATCAGAATAGAAAAATTATGGGTCAAAGCCCTGGAGTGGGAGACATGGACCCAAGGTGTAGTGAGCCCTTTCAGGAGCCTGATGCAGAATATGTGATTACTGCTAGGACTGTGGAGTGTGACACACATTCAAAGCAGGATAATTGGCCACCATCTTTGAGTAGGGCACCATTGTTTCCAATGTGCCAGGCAAGATTCTAAGAGGGATATTACATTTCTAGCTGGGAGTTGACCCATAATTTTCCCTTTCTGCTTATCATTCCAGGCCCGCACATTTTGCTAATTTTGTTCCTTCCTAGTTTGGTTTCATTGGCCATGACTAAACCAGAAAGAATCAGTTTGTAGCCTTGATTTAAAGTGACTTTTGTTTTTTGTTTTGTTTTGTTTTTTGGTTATTTTCATACTGTCCCCAGCAGTTACTTATTGCGGTGGTAACTATAGGCTTTATAGACTATGTAAATTATCTAGACCCTTTACCTCATCCTCTCTCTCACCTACAACCGTATCACTGCTTATTAAAACTTTACCTTGAAAGGTATAAATGTGGAGGGACAGAAATTTAAACCATAATCCAGATAATTTTAATATTTGTAAGTTATTCTAGGCAAAAGTGGGACATGTTTGAAACAGGGCTTTGGGAATCTTGTTAAAAAGTAGATTATAATTTAGTATATCTGGGATGGAAAAGCAAATTCTTAGCAGGGAGTCGAACCTGAATGAACCAGTTCTCAGAGCCCTGGTTTGAAGCTGATGTCTGTAATAGAAATGTTGATTCATCTCATGTTATGTAGTTACTCAGCTATTGCTGGGTTCTATTAATGTGAATAACTTAGAAGTACACTAGACTTTCTTTATACCACTCTGTGTATTATTGGTTTTTGATTCTTTTCTTTTGGTCTCTGAAAGTATCAGAACCTTAAGATGGTAATGCATCAGGTTCGAGTGCTAAATTTATAATAATTTATCATAAATGTCTTCCACCATGCTTTTAAAATTCAAAGTGGCTAAGCTGCATCCTAAAAATTTTTCATATCATTAAAAAAATAATAAATTATTATGGCATAGAATAATTAAAGGTAAAATTTTCACACAAACCCAGAAGACAAGACCTACCTTTGCCACTGTGTTTATTTTTCCACCAACTTATTGGGTCATATATTCATGGCTAAGCTCTTGTTGTTGTTGTTATGTGCCATCGAGTCGGATCCGACTCATAGCAACCCCTCCTTGGGTTTCCGAGGCAGTATCACTGCGGAAGTAGATTGCCCCATCTTCCTTCTGAGGAGTGGCTGGTGGGTTTGAACCACTAGCCTTCTGGTTAGCAGTCAAGTGCCTTAATAGTAATGATGACGTAATAATGCTTAGTACTTAATATTATTATATAGTGTGTAGGTATATATGTGTGTGTGTGTATGTATGATTTTTTTTTTAATCAGTCTTGACAGCAGCCCCAGAGAATAAAGGAAGGTTTATTAGCCCCAAATACATGAAGAAATTGAAAACTCAAACAATAAAACCAAGAAGGAAAGAAACCATGACTCTTTTCACTAAAACTCATTGGTCACTACATATCTGTAGACTTTTTACTCTTACTTGGTTCACATAAATAGCAGTGGTATCTTACTAGAAAACAAAACCAAAATAAAAACTTCTAGGAAACTCCAGGACGTTAATTTATGTTGTTGTTGTTTGCGATATATAAATCTAATTACAAGCAGAATCTGATTTATAGTTCAATCTTCAAATGTGTTCCACAGCACATAGGTTATCTCTTTTCTCAGTTTTGAAATAGTTGCTATAGAGCTTCAGCAAAGTCTCCCAGGATGTTAAATAAGGCTCAATTCCTTTTATTTTTTTTTATTTTTTTTCCCTGTGCTCCATTCAGCATCTGACTGCTGCTTCAGCTCATGGGAGACCAACCAAAAGTGATGAGGTTTCAGATTTTGGCTGTAATAATTTCAGTACACATTTGAATCCCCTAGTTGGGATAGATTCATGACTCCAGAACACTCTAGTGGCCTCCTAAGGTACAATATAAGTGTAAAGCTGCTTTTCCAGATAACTTTCTCCCCATTTTGGGAGTGGAGTTTGGAAAATAAGACAGTCTCTTATTGCTACATTCCTAATGTGGCTCCAAGAGTGAGCTCGCATTGTCATTCTCAGAAGATACTCTCTACATGGGTTATGACTACGGCTGAGTGTGAAAACTAGCCCTGTGGATTTGATCTGCAGGGCTGGGATAGTTCTGCGTGTTCAATTAAAAGCTGAAAGAGAAATGAATAATTTGCTTTTGAGGACAGAGCCTTTCTTTTCCCATCTTTCCTTTAGTTTAGGGGTGGGGAGGAACCAACTGGCTTAATGTCTTTGTACCTACCTTTCAAGCTTATTTCCCTCTCTGAGCTCCTTTCTTTTCATGTTTCTTGATACCAGCCTTCCTTTGCTTTGCTAATGTTGCCAGATTCCGTCTACTGTTGTGTCCCACACACTGCTTCTTTGACTTGGCCTGACCCACCTTCCTCAATTCTTCTGTCTTAGGAGAGGGTTCCCCCTAAAGCCTATTATCTGAGGCTGTCGTCTAGTTAGGCTATCAAACAAGGCAGTGTGTTCTAGGGTTGTCCCCTGGTCAAAGAGATGTGGCAGCACCCAGTCTTACCAACTATTCCAGACTCTAGCAAGGTAGATAATCTGTAGTCCTCATGATCACTACTTGACCAAAGAGTAAGTATAGAAAAGACATCTCTCCAGGTGGCATTGTCTCATTTTCAGGACTTTATGAGAACTTTCAATGTATTCTCCTTTTTTTTCTCTTCCACTTGGCCTGGAAACTTACCAACTCCTTTACCATCACCTGCTTCTCTGACATCTAGGTATTAATTCCCACATCTATTGGCCAACCCACCTTTGATCCTCTGGCTTCCTGTCTGCTAGTTTCTGGGTTTTCCCTGGTCACAGTGCGCTTTTATACTGTACTTCCCATTTTCAGTCCCTTTGTGGTTATGCCCTTGGCTTCTTACTGTGTATTTACCAATTGATCTGGGACAAACAGGAAAAAAGCAGCAACCGTTGAGCAGACATGAAACCTTACTTTGAAGGCTCTCATGTGTTCACTCTTTCTCTAGCACATGCACACATACATATACACAACAAAAACTCAACAGCCTAGTATTAGTCAAGGGAGCGCTGTTTCTCAGCCTTCTGACTCTGGAGCTGGCTGATGGCTTATTTTTTCCCTGGCCAAGGGTACTGAATGTACACTATTTAGCAACACCAACCAACTTTTTGAGCTGGATGACTACTTTAGCACTAATCTATTCCAACTCGCATCTTCACATGAGAGCATTGAGACCCATGTTGCCAAAGTTAGTAAACAGAAAAATGAAGAGTAGAAGCTGGATCTCTTTATGACTGCATTATTTCCATACTTCATGATCTCCATAGAAACCAGCTATCTTCCTTTTCTGATGTCCAAACCCCTTCTTTACCTTCTTGATGCTTTCTTTCTGCAAACAGTTGTAATATACCCTTCATTTTTGGAGCTCTGGTAGCATAGTGGCTAAGACACTTGCCTGCTAACCAGACAGCTGGCGGTTCAAACCCACCAGCCACTCCTCAGAAGGAAGGTTGGGCAATCCTACTTCCGTAGTGATACTGCCTCGGAAACCCAAGGAGGGGTCGCTATGAGTCGGGGCCGACTCGATGGCACATAACAACAACAACAACATTATACCATTATTTCCACAAGTTCTGAGTTTTTTCTGGGAAGAGGAACTTGAAGAAGAAAGAACTTAGTGGTCTTTCTGGAAGGACGGTCTCTAATGTAGTGATCATACTAGAGAAGTAAACAGTTATCCCAATATTATCAAAAGGTGTAGATGATGGATCTGGGTACGAAACTAGAAATTCTGAAGCTTGTGACTGAGTGATAGAGGTTATTTAATGCTCATTGTAAACTCAGATTTTGTCTTCTTTAAAGTTTTAAGAAGGAGCCCTGACATGCACTGTTAAGCACTCAACTGTTAACCAAAATGTTGGTGCTTCAAACCCACTAGCCACTTCATGGCAGAAAGATGTGGCAGTCTGCTTCCACAAAGAATGTAGCTCCAAAAACCCTGAGGGGCTATTCTACTCTTTTATTGGGTCACTATCAGTTGGAATTGACTCATTGGCAATAATTTTGGTTTTTTGGTATACTTTTAGGAAGCTTTGAATTTTAAGGCTAGAGTCATGAAACTTTTCTTAAGGTTTTCTAACCAGATTATATTTTCTTTTCTAGAAACTTCCATTGAAAAAAATTATTTTTAAAAATTTTAATATATATTGATTGCACCACTGGTCTGTATTAATTAAGCTAAATACCAAAGTATAAATACTCTTAAGATTAAATACCTAACATCAAAAGTAGTCAGCTATTGAGGTAGATCTGTTTGAACTGAGTATACATGTGCAATTTGAAAAGGAGTTTTTTTCCTGATTTTGATTATTTGCTTGAAAGGGTATTTGGGAGCATTGCCAAATAGTTTTTTGGAGTTTAAGAACAGCTCTATTTTCTTCAGCTTATCTTTACACAACCATGTGACACAATATTGAGGTATGCCCAAGCCACAAATCTTCTGGGTGGATACTTTTTTTTTTTTTTTTTTTGGTGTAATGCTAATTATTTTCCATTTGTCTTGGAATGGGAAGTCTGTAATCAACCTCTTCTTCTCAGACATCTTCAAGACAAAGGGCATTTATTTCCAAGGCAAAGATCTTGAGAATTCATAGCTGCCTTCTTCTTTTCTTTTTTTTCCGCAAATATACTAGATCCGTCAGACGGTTACATAGATTAGAAATTAAAAATGCCACACCTGTAAATTTAAGAAGCATATATTTAATCTAAGTGTCCTCAGAAGAAAAGAAACCTTTATCATCCTTTGGAGACCCCAGTGACCACAAGGATCTCAGATAGACACCCCGACCACAACATATAAGACTTGTTGTTTATTGAGACATTACTGAGATTTGCATGCAAATCTTCCCCACCAACCTGCAAAATCTAAATACTTGGAAACATTACTCCAGAGGCCTCTTGGTTCAGTGTTCTGTTAGAGAGAGGACATCTTAATCCTCTGCAATCTCTCAATGCAAATATAATTAACTAGTAAAAACAAATATGGACAATATTTTATTTCTTTTTCCATAAATGCTTTGAAAACTCTGGATATAAATTTTCCCTTCAGATGGATCAGACCCTAAAAGTGTTTCCTTTCAAAAACAATCTTGGTGCCTTGCATTCTTGTGTATAACTATACATGTGGTTTGTCTTATTTCAGCCATATTTTCAGAAGACAAAAACACCACAGAGCCTGCTCATAAGATTAAAAATGCTCCATCCATTCTCAACACTCCAGAGCCAACAACAGCGCATGAACCTTTGGTGGGTAGCCAAAAGAGAAAAGCAAGGAAAACCAAGATCACACACCTTGTCAGGACAGCAGATGGCCGGGTATCACCAGCAGGAGGTACTTTGGGTAAGAAGAGGGAGCCTTAGAGAATATGAGAGCAAGTAGGTGATCATCATGGTGCCATGCCGCATGGGCCAGCAGCACAAGATCGTTATTGAAAAATGGAGCTATTCTGTGAATTTCATTACAGTTAAATTTTCTCTTTGTCAATCTCTTTGACAACTAATTATCTGAAGACACCCCCAATGTACATGTTATAGTCCATGTTTTAAAATTATAGTTCTTTTTCCAAGAGCATTTCTAGAATTCCTAGAAAGGTAAGACACTATCTACGATTGTCAGCATCATTTTCCCTTTCTCAGCGTGCACCAAAACAGTACTGATTAGGTAAATTCCCCAAAAGCCCAGAATTTTAAAAGTGCTAGATGAATCAGTTACCTTCACAGTTTACTTTTCAAGCCACTAGAAACCAGAATAAGGAGCTCTGGTGGCATAGTGCCTAAGGCATTCGACTGCTAACCAGAAGGCTGGCAGTTCAAACCCACCAGCCACTTCTTGGAAGCAAGGTTGGGCAATCTACTTCCATAGTGATACCACCTCGGAAACTCAAGGAGGGGTCACTATGAATTGGATCTGACTCAACAGCAGTGAATATGTTAGGGTAACTACTCAGACCTACCTACTTCCTTCTAGAAGCCAGAATATTAGGCCAATGAATTAAGAAGCCTCCTATATGCTGATTCAGACCACTATGGGAACCTGAAAATGAGTATGGATTTCTTGAGTTCTCAATCCTTAACCAAACTGTATTTTATTGTGAATTTTCCCATTTTCAGTGATGGTCTGTGGTCTTTTTGCTGTTCCTGGTGGCCTCAGTGACAGTAGAATCACCTAAGAGACCCACGATAGTAGGTGGGATCAGTGAGTGATACTCAACAGTGTCCCCTCTTGGAGCCCTGCACCAGCTAGGTATTGGTGATCTTAGCTGCTGCCTTTCTGCCTTTCAGTGCCTCCAGCGTTACTGTCAGCCCTGAAGAAAGCATTCCCCCCACTTCCAATACAGTTTCTAATAGAATATAGTTTTGTAAATAGAAAAAAAATATTTTAATGAGTGTTTCTTCAGGGTGATGTTTATAAGTAATCAGATTTGTATATCTAAGTGTCAACAGTGGTGGTTACTTGCTAAATTCAGAATTAGAGGAGAATTAGTGAATTTGTTAACTTTTTCTTGTGTTTTGCATTTATAGATTATTAGAATCATAAAGCATCTTTAATACCCTCCCCCCACCAGTTTTGCTGTCATATAAAAGATAAACCTTGAAGAGTGGAAATTTTGTTTCTGAATATATTCAACTAAGTAGAAGTAGGATGAGGAATAGTATTCACCTTCCTGAGTTTCGACCCAGCAGGCCCCCTCCCTATCTCCTGACCTTTCAACTCTGGTTTCTGTTCTGTGACTTTGATGTTGTAGGTTGTAATAGCCTGATTTTCACTTGTAGGGAGAAATGAAAGACATTTTAGAAAATATTCCCTTTCATATAGAAAAAAACATCATAGCATTTTCATGACTTAATATATGACATCTATAGCCCTTATTGATTTGCTTTCTCTAAAATGATTTTAAAACTATGATAAAAATAATCTTTTCTCTCTATAAGGACCATGTAATAGAACAAAAAAGTACTCATTTCCAAAGAGTATCCTTGCATAGCATTTTAGTCATCTCTTAATAAATACCAGAGGGCCCTTTGTTTTCATTCCATTAGGTCTTCAGAATAAAACTAACAGCTTGAAATCTCAGTATTGATTATTCTGATCCTTAGGCTGATCTAAGTGTTGGTATCACAGCATACCAGAAGTTCTAGTTGCCATAGTAGGGCATAACTTAAGGTTTCATCAGAAATGCCTAGTCATTTGGGTACTTGAGGGCTTTTTTATAGTGTCTATAGACCCCTCTGAAGAAGTCCTTTGGGCTTTATTTTGGCCAACACCCAGTTTTCCCTCTCAATCCAAGAGTGACCCATTTTCTGACCTTGGATAAAACACAGCTTCTCAGCTCAGCTTCCAGCACAGTACTGCTCATAGTTGCAGTGGAGCTTAAAGAGCTTTGTTACTGTGGGAGAAAAGATTCTGTTGAAGCCTTAATATTCAATTGATGGCAAGAGTGAGCAGTAACGAATGTTAGCTGATTTCACTTTGACGGGCACAGAATTTTCTCTGTGTCCCTTCGCTGGAGAGAATAGAGTGATCCTCTCGTGATGGATTTCTCTTTTGTTACAGATGACAAACCAAAGGAACAACTGCAGAGGAGTCTCCCTAAAGCAACTGACACAGACTGCAATGATGAATGCTCACACAATGCCGACGCGGTGGAGACGCGGAGCAGTACTCCAGACATGCCTGCCGTGTCTGCATTCTTTAGCCTTGCTGCACTGGCGGAGGTGGCAGCCATGGAAAATGTGCACAGGTTAGTGATGGAAAAACTTGCCCTGCCAGGGTCCTGGCCACTCTGATTAACTTCACCCTCTTCCATGGCATATGGATGGAGAAGGTAACATGGAAGCCCAAGTCATCCTTTCTAATAGAATTTCTGACATTTTTGACTACGCACTTAGGTTCATGGGACTTGGTTCAAAAACACATTTGTTTATGTGAGGTGTTAGGAAAGTGTATGTGATAGTTAGTAGTGTGGGAAAATATAAGAAAATATAGGCAGCTGAATATTTTACATTGAATATATCATGCTGTGGCTAAACTTTATTTCCATAAACAGCCTCAGAGAACAGACAGGAGTCAGATCTCAGACCTAGGTTTTAGTCCTAGTTCTGCAATTTATAAACTGAAAGGTCCCTGGGTGGCACAGATGGTCTGAGCTCATCTGATAGCCTAAAGGTCGCCATTTGGAACCTACCCAGGGCTACCACAAGAGATCCAGGCCTGACTATCAGTTTCCGTAAAGATTACAGCCAACCTGACTAACATATCAATGAAATGTCTCCAAATGAACACATAAACAAATGTTGTTGTTGTTGTTATGTGCCATCAAGTCGGACCCGACTCATGGCAACCCCTCCTTGGGTTTCTGAAGCAGTATCACTACGGAAGTAGACTGCCCAACCTTCCTTCCAAGGAGTGGCTGGTGGGTTTGAACCACCAGCCTTCTGGTTAGCAGTCAAGTGCCTTAGGCATTAGATCTTGAGCAAGATCATTAACCTTTCTTCCCTGACTTTTTTCTTCTGTAACATGGGAGTAAGTGGTCTTCTCAATAGACTTAATATATGAACTAGGTAGCAAGTGCTCACTTAGTCCAGTGCTAGCTCATGGTGAACACTCAACTAAGGATGGTGTTGGTGAAGAGCATCTTGGCATCTGATGGATGGTAGGCAGAAGGCCTAGAATTATCTCCAACTCCAGTCCACTATACGAAGTAATTTATTTCTGTGGACCTGTTCTCTCATCTTACTTTAGGCATAATGATATCCTCAAAGAATCATGACATTATAAGGTTCAAACAAAATCACAGACATGAAAGCCCTTTGAATTTGGTGAAGGCCCATAGAAAGTATATTAAGTTCTCAGTGTTAATTGGGTGTTGTGCTGCTTAATAAGAAGATAAAAATCTTTTTTGTATATCTACGTGTTTTATATTTTCACTCAAAGTGGCTTTTCCATAGAATAGCTACTTCCTTTCACATAGAACCTACCTGCTGGGCCTCATCCTCCTTTCCACATCCAGCTGTAGGAGGCACTGACATACGCTTTGTTTGCTTCTTGTTCTTTACCTGTCACATTTCAGTTCTAATGCTTCCTCACAGGTAGCCTCTAGATATTTCCAAGAAGTTGAATTCCTTTGCATATGTACACTGCAAGTTCCTAACAGCAAGTGAATGCTGACAGGCATCGTTAAAGTCTCTGAGAGAGATAACGAACACATAAGACACTTCTCCGGCACTCAAGGAGTTTTACAGTCCAGTACAGAGGACAAACTAATACACATACAAAGAGAAATTTAAAATATATGCCTGAGTACAAAAGTTGAAGTAGCATCATAATTCAGGGCTCAGAAAAGGCTTCCACATGCTACCCTTGCTGCTTTTAAACCCTTCTCTTCTAAACATAACTGTAGTCACAATATTGCCCTGTTAGCCCACCTTCCATGACTCCCATTCTCCAGCACCAGAAAGCCTCATCTTAACTTTGTGCTCTTATGTCTCCTCAACCTTCCACACTCCTGCTCTGCATTCACATAGAATGACTTTCCAGATAAGCTAGCCTCTTGCCTTCATACCAGGCTTCGAACTGGTTCATTCCTGTTTGACTCCCTGCTGAGAATTTGCCTTTCCACCCCAGATGTACTGAATCAGAATAGAATCAGAATCTACATTTTAACAAAGTCCTCAGCCCTAGTCCTTTCTCCTCCTCCTCATTCTTCTTCTTGATGGCCCGGGCTCCCTTTCCCTGTGGTTGCTGCACTCTGTTTGTGTACTTCTATTAGAAAAGCTCCACTTTGAGTTGTAGTTACTTATTCATATTTTGTGTCTCCTCCCATTGTACTTTGAGTGTCTCAAAAACAAAGCTCTGGTTTTATTTTTCATGCTCTTGTCCCCCGACACTCTCCCTTAGTTCCTGTTACATCTGTGGGTGAGTGAACAAATGAATGTGTGAATGAATAAATGAGGTAGTTCTTGAAGTATGGTGCTTAAGATAGGTAGCAGCAGGTGTAGGAAATATGGTGTGAGTAAAGGTTCTTTTTTAACTTCTGCTAAAGGGATAGGGAGGCTGCATCTTCCTATCTCCTCTAACTCCACTAAAGGAAGACAGAAATACTATCAGCAGCCCAAGGCCTATAATCTGTGAGGCCAGACATGGTGCCTCGCTCCAGCCCTTCACCAACCCTGACAACCAGCCATCCCTCCCACAGCACTCACTAACTCTCTGCTGGACTCAACAATTCATTGCAATGACCATGGAGAACTCATAGACGCCACTCACAGATTATGGGGTTCATTAGGGAAGCAATAGGCTACAACTCAAATTTAGGAACACTCAGGATTCAGTTCTTCAGTCAGGACAGTCTCCCCTCTGCCATGCCCTTAGACATGCCTCTGTGGCCCTTGGCCTTTCGGCCTGGCCCCTGCTGCTTTGTCTCATGCCTCTTGGTTCCACTGCTGCCATCTTTCAGCCAGGCATCTCTCTTTCAGTACCGGGTCGGTCTCTCAGCCACGGATTGGCTTCTCAGCCATGGGTAGGTCTCTCAGCCACAGGTCGGTCTCTCAGCTAGGCATCTCTCTCAGCCAGCAGTGAGAGCTATTCCTCCTCTCTGCCTATAGGAGGGCTCACTTGAAGCCTGGCAGAGTAGCAAAACTAACCAATCCCAACAACAGAATTAACCCAGGTGGATAATAATCAGGTGCTACTTAGTTTCTAATGGCAGATTCCACCATGGACTTTACAAAGACCATGGCTAGAAAAACCATACTGTGTAATTTACTGCACTGCACCTTTGCATTAGAAAGAACAATATTGGGTATTAGAATTTATTATCAATCTAACAAATGATTTATATTCTTAATATAAAGAAAGATAGATCACCCTAGGGAGTCTTAGTTCTGACTTTAACCTTTACCTGTTAAACCAGACCTACCAGCCAGTCTGTACCTATAGACTTAATGTAATTGTACCGGGCTTAGTTCTGGTAGCATAGCGCCTAAGGTATTTGACTGCTAACCAGGAGGCTGGTAGTTCAAACCCACCAGCCATTCCTCAGAAGGAAGATTGGGCAACCTACTTCTTTCTCAGTAGTGATACTGCCTCGGAAACCCAAGGAGGGGTCGCTATGAGTCGGATTAGACTCAACAGCAGTGAGTTGTTTTGTTTTTATAGAGTCATTATGAGGCAACTTGGGTTTGATTTTTGGTCTTAGGCATCACCTAGATTTATACTTTAGAAGGTGGCCAGTGAGGTTTGAGTTGGAAATATCACATTTGCCCTCTTGCCACTAAATTAGGTTCAGAAACCTAACACAGAAAAGGCAGTTATGCAAAATGCAGGAAATAGAGAATTGGAACAAACCTTTGTTGAGAGCATGGTATTTATTATTCACTTTTCTCTCCCTCTTCCTGTGTCCTTTTTAAATATTTATTAAAATTCTTCTTACTTTTGTAATATTACTAGATGTTTGGTCTTAAAAGTTAAAAAAAAGCATTTTAATGTCTTCTGTCTTGAACAAAGAGCTGAACACACTGAACAGTTGGCACTTAACAGCATCTACACATGGATAAACAGATTAATCCAGAGGTTTGATTCTAACACATGTTTTGTTTTTCTATAATCTTAATATCTTAGGCTGGCAAGTGATCCTCAGATTCTGAAACCCCCAAGCATTGTAATTTTATTTACATGATTTTTTTTTTTTTTATGTGCACTTAAAGAAACTTGTTATAGGCATGGAGCAAATATTACTTGAATCTTGCATTATCTCCTTTTGTTCAACTTAGTCTAAAGAAAATACTATATTTAAAGAAATACTATATTACAAGGTTGCCCCAGTGAAAACATTGCTGCTACTGCTGCTTTACAGAGCTTCAGTACAGTGCTGTGTACCACAGACAGTTGTAGGACAGAGGAGTGAGTGATCCTTGTCTAGGCTTTGTAGGTTTGTTATCCAATGTCAAAGAGTTGTCCAGTTTTGTCTTTTGAGAATACAAAGTTCTATTGAAATTACCAAGAATTTTGAACAGTTTTCTCATAACCATGAAGTGAATCTTATTTTTTTCTACTGATTATGCAAAATCTGAATGAAAACTCAGCTTTATTTGGCATGGCTCAAATTCAAATTATGGAAATTTCCATGAATTTTCTAGTCTTGTCTGGCATTCTCCCTTCATGTCTGTTGATTTTGACCCATGTAGACTAGATTTGTTGACAGTCTAAAATCTAGAGTCAGTACTCACCTTCTTTCCCTGTATACACTGTTTTGGTTACCTAGTGCCACTCTGACAGGAATATACCACAAATGGGATGGCTTGAGCAAATAAGAATTTATTCTCTAACAGTTTGGAAGCTTTAAGTCCAAGTTCAAAGTGCCAGGCTTTAGGGGCTGGGTGAAAGCCCCTCAACTTTGGGCTGCAGCTCTGCCTCTTGCTCCTGGCCCACTGAAGCTAGAGTCTTTTCTTCATTCAGACAGCTAATGGCTGCTGAGACTGACAAGCCCAAAGTTGACAAGTAAAAAGGCACAGTCCCGATATCACCAAACCACACGGCAGGCCATTAATTCAAGTCCCAAAGTCAACAGAGCATGGTAGGCTGCTAAACAATGAATGACTCGGCTGCATGCAGGGTTCAGGTGTGCCATAAGCTAGAGACCATTCCCCAAGGCTTCTGCTAATATACAGGAAGCAGGCCACACCCCTAAGGCAGCTACTCAGCTGCTCACAGTAGATTGCACCATGGGGTGGATTGCCCATCTCTTCATGAGGAATACTACATCCAACTGCCCAGCCACTCAACCAGGCCCATCCACATTGACAAAAACTGAACTACCACATACACCCTCTGCATATGCCTGTGAGACTTTTTTTTAGTTAGGAGGGTTCATTGTTTGTTCATTCATTGTTTTCTTTTCATTCGGGTGTTTTTTTGTTTTTTTTCTTCAGCATTCCAGTCCATCTCCTTTCTTCAGGGACCATAGCTTTGATTGGCCTTAAGTCTTAAATTGGGTTTATTATTATATGTCTTATGAAATCATCCTTAAGATTATCAATTATTATAGGAGAGTTTTATCCTTGGGCAAGACTAGGAAAGGGACATATCATTTGAATATCAGTGGATCCAGAAAAAGACAGTGGCTCAGAAACCACAGCCTTTGATTGGAAGTGGTCTGTTTCATAGAGCATGATCCCAAATATGTTGCTGCTTCAGGTTTCAGCTCTACAGAATAGAGATGGGGTTGGTACAAAGAATATCTGTGGAGTTGCATGAGGGCAATTGAGATAAAAATCTTGTTTGTTTTTTTTTTTAAAAAAAAGGTCTGCTAGATGGTGCCTGGCTGCCACTGTCAACCACTCAGAGGAGGGGGATCTATGCAGGAGATCCTGGATAGAGTGGGAGAACAATGTGTAACAGAATTCAAAATCATAAAAAAAAAAAAAAAAAGGCACCAGCTCTGCTGGTCTGATAGAGCCTGGTGAAACCCCTGAGACTATGGCCCCTAGCCACCCTTCAGGTCTGGAATTGAACTCACTCCTGTGGCTTCCAGCCAAACAAAAGACAGGCATATAAGCTAAACATTTATATTAGGCAGATAAACTCCTTGGTGAGCTCAATCATGGAAGAATAGAAGGGCTGTGTATGTACAGGGGACAGCTCAGAGGGGCAGGAGTCCATGGAGGGAAGGACATAGGAAGGAGGTGGATATGGGGAGGAAGTGGGAAGAGAGCTGTTGCATCGTGGGAGATTGCAGTCAATGTCATGAGACAAAAAGTGTATGTGAACTGCTGTATAGAAGATGAATTTGCTCTGTAAACTTTCACCCAAATCACGATAAAGTTAAAAAAAAAAAAGTTCAAAAGATTGTAACAGTTTTAAATGGCATAAGTGACAACAAAATAGTAGAAACTGTTAAACAAGATATTGAAAGCTTTTATTTATTATCCCTCATGTTCTCCTAACTCTGATAACATAACTATGAATAAATGATTTTCTTTTTTTTCTTCCTCTCATTGTACAGAGGTCAGAGAGCAACTCCACTCACCCATGACGGACAGCCAAAAGAAATGCCACAAGCTCCTGTACTTATTTCCTGCGCTGACCAGTGAAGCGCCCTTTCATTGTAAAACATTGTGCTTTACCTACTACCCTAGCCTTGTCTTTACCGAGGGATGCTAGCGAGTCCATGTGGTGGAAAATATAGACTGCTAACAAGTGCTTTTGCCCTACACGGCCCAGATTCACTTGAAGCAGAAGTTAGCGTCCTGGGCCAGTTTGTTCTTTCAGAACCCAGAATCTTTGGGGTGGTGTTATTTGTCTGATAATGAGCAGAAACGAAATGATCCTGGAGCTTTGCTTTCTATTGAAGGCTTTTAACAGTAATAGGCAGTAACTTGGTGAAAGACTGCCTTTACTGTAACTCATCCAGCATCTCTTTTACCAACCAGAGAGTATGAAACTAGTTTCGTATATGACCTAGTTATTCTTTCAAAACAAAACAAAAAAACAAAAACTGACGCACTGCACTAGTTATTATTAGATATTCTTAGTCTTTTTTGTACATGGAGATTTAAGTTCTAAGATGGTTTATATAATAGGTTATACCTACATTTATATTGTAGAATAAATATTAAAAAAAAAAAAAAAAAAAAGAAGGCCTGTTCCAGAGACTCCCAAGCACCCTGGACAGGCAGGTGTACCATTGTTAGTGGTGTATGCTCGGCCTTGTGGTCCATATATTCTGCACTTTTATATTTGCCACCAGAGTGGTAGTTTGCTGGCAAAACAAAAAAAGAGAAAAAAATTACAATTCTTACAAGCTGAATTTTTTTCTTAGCTTTGAGTGACCAAGAAGAATTTACTTGGGACAAATAGTGGCAGATATTTTCCCAGACAGGGGTAGAGTCCTGCAGGTAACAAATTACTGATGTTTTCATGCCTTGAGGATTCTTTTATTTTTACACAGGGGTCTAAGTGACCAAGGGATTGTTCATACAAACAGACAAACAAAAAAAAAAAAAAAAAAGACAAAGATATTACTCAAAAGTGACCTTAGTATTACTTCACTATTCTGAACACATTGAAGACATTCACTTCATGTGGACTTTGCGATACAGACCTTTTCCATCCATCACAGACAGACTGGAGGGGTTGCAATTGCTATGCACAGCCTAATTGGCACTGTGGTGTTTAGAGCCATTTCGAGTTTGTGTTGCTTAGGGAGGTGTATTGAGTGCATGGTTAGGGAGGAAGCCTACCCAGAGTGGGACTCTCAGTCATAGATCCACCTGCGAGCTTCTGTTTCCTTTTTGTGTTTTGTTGCTTTTGAACATAAAACCAACCACACATATGCCAGTGCCAAGTGGATTACTGGCTTAGAACATTCAACATATTGACTCAACCACCTGATGTTCAAAATGTCTTGTCTCCTAGCAACAGATGCAAAGTGATACATCAAAATTAGTCTGAGGCTTCAGATTTTACAGGGTATTTGTTCCATAGCACAAAGTATTTCCCTACTCTTGCATCACAGCACAAACTACCAAATTCTAATTATTAGATTCCAGCAATAATTTTTATTGGTTTTCAAACTGGTGGAATTTTGATAGTGTTAGTTTGAGTTTGAAGCTTTTGAATTAGATCTCTGAATGGTGACAGTTTACATGGTTTTATCTAGCTTTCTTATTTATACTTGACTGAATTGTAATGATTATTTCTTTTCTAATCGTAATCTGACCTAATAGCCATACAAAAAAAAAAACCTATTAATATTGACTAGGTATAGCTTTTCATGGTTGTAGATATTACTTCAGTTTTGGTGATGGGAAATGTGTACAACATACTAACAGGATTGAAAACAGAAAAAAAAACCAGAAGTGTCTTTTTATTTTTTTTTTTCAAAGCAGGTAAAGAGGGCAGCAGAGTGTTCGAATGGTATACTCAAAAATGCACATTCATTGTGGGGATGGAGGAAGAGGGAATTTTGTAAAAGGTTAGTCAGACATTAAAATTTAACCCCATTCGCATAGAAATAAATCAGGTGAGCAGCCCCATCACAGATTTTGAGCATGAAATTTTTACTATGATGCTGTTTTATTAACATTTTCTAAATTTCCAGACAAAAAGTAAACAACTGAAAATGGCTGGGTCCCAATGTGGGTGGCTGTTGGAGTTTTTGGACCACTTGCTAGCAGTGATTTAAAATTTGTAATTAGCCTAAAATCCAAAAACACACATATACACACACATAAAAAAATGTATGGTGCAGAACATGCATCTTGACAATGGTACTAACTTGTTACTCTATAGAACACATTAGAATAGATCTATTTTTGCCAGAGCACCCTTCTTCAGTCCTCTGATGACATTTCACTAGAGTTCCTTAAGAGATTGCTGTATATTCATGGGACCTTTTTTTAAAAAGACGCAAAACAAAAGATTACTTTTTTCTAATCTTAATGTGATTAATATCTTACTTGATCTGCTTTTCCTAAACCTCAGTGGCTTTCCCTTAGGCAGGGGTGTGGGTGGGAGGGCGACCTACTGAATATGACTTTTCAGATACTTAAAAAAAAAACACCTTTTTGTAGAAATGCTTAATTTTTAAGCGGTTAGGCACTGAGAGTAGCAGAAATCCTGCAAAGCTTTATAGACCTTTAGACACTCGCCTTGTCGTTTTATCTGAGTGAAGTCTTGATTTCAGTAATAGTGCTTCTCTTACCCTTGAGTCTGTTGCAGCAGGGTGTTGGTATTTTCAGGTAACAAAATTTGTTAGCACAAATATTTCAGACCAACATGTAGTGCTTCCCCCCCACCAGTTGTCATTTTCTTTCTTTCTTTTTTTTTTTAAATTTTGGAAAGTCATAATGCTATGGTGTATACTTTAATCTGCCAGCAAACACCATCTACACTAACATTTGTCCCACAAGCACCCTCAAGAGAAAAAATTGTTGCACCTTATGTATATCTCAAGCAAACCAAAATATGATGCTTTTCTGCTTTGTTTTATTCTAAATTGTTGTATCATATCTTTCTGAAACCATTCTGAATTTAGTTGAAATTATCAATATTTATGCTTTTAACCTTAATTTCTGGATTCAAACCTGTATATAAATCTTTTGAAACAAACTGTCCTATCCTTTCTCTGTGATGCTGGAATTAGATGATTTAGTCTCAAATGGAGATGCAATACTGTTCCAGTTTTCTTTAGCTTTTTATTTATTTAGTTATTCTGAGTATTTCCTATGTACTTTTGAAGTGTGTAGAGTATATTATAGTAACTGAAGCTTCAGCTCTAAGAAGCAGAGTGAAAGAAGAATTACTGTAAGACGTCTTTTAAGTTTTTATTTGTTTGGGTACTGTATATGAGATTGGGATAAAGGAAAAATGTCCCACAGCCACATTGGGAATACAGCTTCTTGCCCCAAAATTAGGTGGTTCCCCCACACACAGATTTCAGATCAAAACTGTTAACTTTGGTAAAACCCTTTTTAAAGACTAAATCATACTATTGTAATTCTAACAGCCTTTACCCCACAAATGTGCTCTGACTTGAGAAATATATTTATTTAATTCTGCCCTATGAGCTTTCTACCAATGCCATGTCCCAAAGCCATGCTGAAATAATTCCCAAGTTATCACTGTTATTCTTGTTCCTGCCATTTAATGTGGTTAGGGGGGAAAGGTGATGGAACACTATGAACAAAAAAGAGCATCTGAACTGGTCTGGTATTTAGAATCTAATATGTTCAGTCCCCATCATTTTCTTCTTAAATCAGATGTTACTCTGCCTAAGTCAGAAGATGTCCTTTGCGCTCTGCCGTCTTTGGCTCAGTGACGGAAATGTTTGCACCTATGTAAAATCTTGAGCAAATTACAAATTGCTACAGGAGTAAGCTGAAAACAGAATGACATGTTTTTGTTTGTAGGGTGGGGGTAGGGAATACCAAATAGCTCTGTTACAAGTTTGGCATTAATGTGAAGCAGTGGGACCATGCTGCCTGTTGAAACTACTGTATGAATCCTAAGTGTTCTGAAGACCAGCAGCGGAGACTGGAGGCCACATCAGTACAGCAGAGGAGACGTGTCATCTTTCATCGGGAAGAGGAAGGGACACGTGGGTGACCTGGAGACATGTGTAAAGGGAAAGTTGGGGTGTACATGAAGCTGTTGCAGTGGGTCACCTTTGATTGCACTGCTCCACAGAGCCCTCATATAAGGCCAATCCTAATGGGCTACCTCGGCTTTGAAATTAATTTCAGTAAGTCCTGTTTCAAAGGTTTGTCTTTTTTTTTTTCTGCTTCTACCTTCAGTGCCACTATTTTCCACTGCAGTGTTTTGACTTCACAAACTGCCTTCTCCAGAGAGAACAATGTATTGCTAAAAAATGGTCAGCAGAAGCAAATGCTATTACTACATTTGACCTATAAAGTATTCAGAGTGACTGCTATGTGGAAATTAAAATTTAACTCCCCTTCCAGATGACCTTGTTTTGCACCTTAGTAAAAGTGTACTAGTTGTTTGTTAATTAGATGTTTCTTTCATTATACAAGCATTCCCAAAGAATTGGATTTGGATTGTTTTTGTATGAGTTTGGGGATTTTTTGAAAAAAAAAAAAAAAAAAGACTGAATAACATCGTACTTCTTAAAAATGATGCAGTTGTTCAGTTCATCTTACCAGATACGTCTGGTGAAGTATTCAGGGTTTGATGGACTGCTTTGCTTTAGCGCAGAAACAATAGCTAAGCTGCTATATTCCATGTTAAATGATTTTTGTCCTTTTCACTGAGGACATTATTTCCTTACATTTTGGAACAGAGAAGCAACAAAAGAGTGAATAACAAGACAAATAGATTTGATTCCTCTTGGACACCCACATCTGTCTGTGCTCCCTTCAAAAATACACATTTTCTTTTAAAAAAAAATTGTATTTTCTCTTCTGGCCAAATTTTATGAGAGGAAATCTTTTCTTTTTTTTTTGTGAGGAAATTTTGTACGTAAAAGTTCTATGACCAAAAGTTCTATGACCACTTTTTTGATCTTGCCCTCAAATTGATTTTTATGCACAGAATTAGTTTGTGTGAACATTACTACTCCTTCCAAAGACTTAATAACTCGGGCCAGAACTAGTTACTGAGTAACAAGGACCTAATTCAATGCCTCTGAGCCCTCCCACTCACAAGGCAAATCTTACCTCACAAGCTCTCACCTAAGTCACTCAGCACGCGTTTCATGAACTAACACTGATCTTGCTTTGCGGCCCACCAGAAGGGCAGGCTCATGTCCACTGACACTCAGGTTAGTGCCTCGGGCTCTAAGAGGGGCGGGACTGAGGGTAAGAAAGAAATGACCTGGAGCTCAGCAGCTTGCTCAGCAAATGTTCAGCAGCATTTTTCTCATTTCATTAGCACTAAACAAGTCTCTTGCTCTCAGGAATTCGTCAAATAAATAAAACCACCTGAGATTCCACATACAAGATTATGAACTTTTCTCATAGGTTTGAATTG